TAGTTTATATACTCAGCATGGGTAATTAAGAGAAGTTAGAGCCTGGCCAGCGTGGCTCAGTGGTCGGCCAGAGCGTCGGCCTATGAACCAGGAGGTCACAGTTCGATTCCTGGTCAGGGCACAGGCCGGGTTGCGGCTCCATCCCCAGTGGGTGGCTGGTGGGGACGGGTCTCCGGGCAGCAGATCCTGGACACACCCTGTTGCAGCGCTGGCCTGGCCTGGCTCAGGGGATCCTGAGTGACCCATTTCTCACAAATTTCTCACAACTTCTTCTCATGTATCAAGGCCAGGCAATGCCTGTCACTTCCCCACTCACGGCCCCCCTCCTGGCCCCCGGAAGCTGCCGTGTCAGGGAGAGGACAGACTCAGTGCGGGGCCTGCTGGGAGGGGCTCCCCTCAGGGAGGGACTGGGCCACAGAAGTGCACTCACAACACATCCCTGCCTCCCTGGCCAGAGGGGAGGGTGGGGAGGGCCCCGGGCCCAGGAGCATCTGTGCTGTCCTCCCTGGAAGCCCAGACCACAGACCTCGGGCCTGAGGCCGAGCCGCCTCGGACGCAGTGGGGACAAGCGCCTGGAGCCCCGCGTGAGCCTGCAGCCCGAGGAGCACCGTCCCCGGAGCCGGAGCCGCACGTCTGTCTCGCACACGGAAACGGGAAACGGAGGCAGAGGTGAGTGAAGACAGACGGCGCTGTGATGGCGTCCCCCAGGAGACCACTCGCCCTCACTACGCACCTCCCCACCCGAGGGGAGCCTGTCTCTCCCTGCTCCCTCCCTCTCCGTGTCTCTCCGTCTCTCCCTCCATCTTGGTGTCTCTCCCCCTCTGTCTCTGTGTCTCTCTCGGGGACAATGAGGCTTTGGAAACACTCTCCTGACCCTGCCTGTCTTTCCTCCTCCCACCCCCACGAGGGCGGGAGCTGGCTGTCCCTGGGCAGCGCACAGGGAGCCCTGGGCAGGGCTGGCATCTGAGCAGGGAGTGGGCCAATCTGCAGGGGGCAGCGGCCTCGGACCCTCCCATGCCACGCCCCCTCCTGTCTCCAGGACGAGCACCCGCCCGTGTTTGCCTGAAATCCCGGCTCTTCCCTGGTCCTGAGTGAGGAGTCCAGCCTAGCGGACTCCAAAGCACGGGAGGCCCACGAAGCCCACGGCGCGTGCCTTTCCAAGCCGCCAGCCTATGGGCCGCCAGCCCCGCGCGGCCGCTCACAGGTCACAGAGCTCGCAGCTCAGCCCCCGGGAAAGCGGAAAGCTAGGCTCCGTGAGCCTCAGGCAGCTCCCGCCTCGCCCCCCAAAGCAAACGCAGGGCCACAGCCCCCCGGCACGGCGCAGGCGGGACGCTGACCGCCACAGCCTCCCAGGACACACGGTCTCTGTAGCTTTGTGTGGCGACAGATGTCAGTCAATCGTGCGGTCATTTTGCACCGAATAAAAACATAGCTACCAGGTCATCACGGCGCACACAGAGCTGAGATTCGAACCCATGACACTAACGGAATGCTGTGTCAGTTATTCCTCAGCAAAAAAGACAAAACTGACATAATGCACACACACACACGTGCACACACATAATCACACACATACACACATGCATATATACACATACATACTTACACACGCATATGTAGACATTTACATGCATATACACATATATACACACACACGCACATACATGCGAATACTTCCCCCCACCCCCCGACACTGTCCAGGTAACTGCCCAGTAACATTTCACAGCGTTTCTTGGGGACGTCACACAGGCCAGACACACGTGGAGACGGAAGAGGTGCTGGGGTTCCGTGGATCCCGTGAAACCGCCTCCGAGGTGTCTGAGTGTCAGGCCCGTCTCAGCATAGGCCGGGACGGGGTGCCCACGTACTAAGTGTGAGTGTTTACCCTTAGACAGTATGGCTCTCGTGCGCAGTCCATATCATTATTCCCATTTCACAGATGAGAACCCGAGGCTGAGAGAAAGGGGGCCAGCCGCGGGCACACGCCTTGGAGACCACAGAGCTGAGATTCGAACCCATGACCGTGAGATGGTGACACCTTCTCAGTCTACGGTTCCTGCCGGCCGGGACCTCGAAGCCCAGCGCCGTCACCCCGATTCCAGCAGGAAACACGCACGCTCTTTGGAGGACTCTGCCACGCCCCCCCCCATCCATTTCCATCCTGG